TTTATTTTTTTGCCAAATTTGGTCCAGGGAATGAAATTACATCCTGCACATCAGATATTTACATTAGGATTCATAACAGTAGTAAAATTAGAGTTATGAAGTAGCAACAAAAATAATTTTACGGCATCACCACAACATGAGGAACTGTATTAAGTGGTCACGAATTTGAGAAACACTGGTTTAACCCCTTGTGCCACCAGTCGCTCCAGGAATAGAGTTAAGGTTTTGAGATCTCATTGACAGAATCACAAGTCAATGCTGCCGTGGGAGTAAATAAGACACTTTCCAGTTGCTCGCACTAGTCTTTAGTTCAACTACATTTAAGTTGAATTGAGCTCTCTCCCTATTAAGCATGCATCTTAAACAAATGATAAAAGAGTGATTTGGAGTTCTGAAATATAGATTATTTATGAAAAGGTTTCCTCCGCTGTATGTGCCAGTTGGACACACAAAACTATTTTAAAAGTTGGTCAAATGGTAGCCAGAGTTCTTGTAGATACTGTGCAAACCATGTAAGGATTTGGAGGAAAAGCTGTCTGAAATTGTTGTTGTGTTTTAACGAATTTCAGTTGAACTCATAATGTTAGGTATCTGACATTTAATCTGGATGGAGCTGGCATTTTACGTAAATTTTCTTACAAGGCAGATAGGCAAGCACTCATGCTGTTTGTCTTCCTGATGTTTCAGTGGTCCGTGCTAATAAAGGAGGTAAAGTTAAACCACCAGCAGTTTCTAAGTAGTAGAAGTAGCAAGAAGGGGACTGTTGTTGTTTTGTGTGTGTGTGTGTCTTTTGTGATTCACCCAAGCAATTGAGGCTTTTAGAGTAAAAGGCCTAAGTATCTTCTCTAGTTTCATTGTCCATTTCCTCTCCGGATTTACTAGTAATGGACCCCTGCCATTTTAAGTATTGGGGYGGGSGGGGGGTTAGCGAAAAGCTTAAGAACCACTTTGAGAAAGAAAACAATGGCCATTTCTATCTAGATCAGTYGTTCTCAACCTTGCTAATGCTATGACCCCTTAATGCAGTTCCATATGTTGTGGTGACCTCCAACCATAATATTGTTTTCATTGCTACTTGATACCTGTCATTTTACTACTGTTATAAATAGTAATGTAAATATCCGATATGCAGGATGGATTTTCATTCACTGGACCAAATTTGGCACAAATACCCYATATGCCCAAATTTGAATATTGGTGGGGTTTGGGGAAATTGATTTTGTCATTTGAGTGTCGTAGTTGCTGGGATTTATAGTTCACTTATAATAAAAGAGAATTCTGAACTCCACCAGCAATGGAACTGAACCAAACTTGGCACACAGAACTCCCATGATCAACACTGGAAGGGTTTGGTGGGCATTAACCTTGAGTTTGGGAGTTGTAGTTCACCTATATCCAGAGGAGTGCTGTGGATTCATGCAATGATGGATCTGGACCAAACTTGGCACAAATACTCAATATGCCCAAATGTGAACACTGGTGGAGTCTGGGAAAAATAGACCTTGACACTTGGGAGTTGTAGTTGTTGGGATTTATAGTTCACCTACAATCAAAGAGCATTCTGAACTCGACCAACAATAGAATTGGGTCAAACTTCCCACACAGAATCCCAATGACTAACAGAAAATACTATGTTTTCTGATGGTCTTTGGTGATCCCTTTGACACCCCCTAACGACCCCCTCAGGGGTTCCGACCCCCAGGTTGAGAAACACTGATCTAGATGATAACAAATAACTGGGAAATTTCTTTTTCCCCACTTTCTAAGTGTTTAGATTTAGCTTTTAGTTGACCTGGTCTCTAGCTACTGAAAATGCAGCAAGAAGTTTTACCAGTGCTTTTTAAAAGTTGCAGGTTCTAATCCGGAGAGCGACATGAGCTCCTGCTGTTAGCCACAGCTTCTGCCAACCTAGCAGTTTGAAAACATGGAAATGTGAATAGATCAATAGGTACCGCTCCGGTGGGAAGGTAACAGTGCTGGCCACATGACCTTGGAGGTGTCTGTGGACAATGCTGGCTCTTTGGCTTGGAAATGGAGATGAGCACCAACCCCCAGAGTCGGACATGACTGGACTTAATGTCAGGGAAAAACCTTTACCTTTACTTTTTAAGGTAGCTCTTCAGCAAGCAGTCAGAAGAAAGGTACTTAGTTTCAAATCCCAAAGTTTGCAGCATAAGTGATGGGAAAGATTCATACTTGTGGAATGACTGTTCTAATCCAGAGTTTGGGAAAGTTATTTATGGAGCTGCCGTTTACCAAATCCACCAGCCGGCAATGCCAGCAGCCTCACTAATTAAGGGATTTCTTTGGGATCTATAGTCCAAAAAAAAAGTTTCCCAGGTTCTGCTAAATTACTTTAATCTCTTTTAGAAGAGATTTCTGCAGTATCCCCTTTGAGCCCTCAGGGTCACACTGCACCCTTTGTTGACACAAACTACAAGCAGAGACCGAGCCATTCCTCAAATGCTACCTGTAAACTTCTCCTAAGGACAGGAACCTTGCCTTGCTGAAAACACTCATCATTCTGTTGGAATAGGTTTGGATAGATGAGAAGTAGAAGGAAATGTTTTACAGAATGTAGTTTGTCATGACTTTAACTGCCATGGCTCAACACTATGGAATCATGGGTGTTGTAGCTTGGTGAAGCACGAGCAATAATTGTCAGATAAGACTAAAGAGCTTGGAAAAGGACGACTCCCGTGATTCCATACCATTGAGTCCTGGCAGTTAAAGTGGTGTCAAACTATATTACTTCAACTGTGTAGACCAGTGTTTCTCAAACTGTGCTCCACCAGGTGTTTCAGACTTCAGCTCCCAGCAGCCAGTTTACCAGTTGTTAGGAATTGTGAGATCTGAAGTTCAAAACATCTGGAGCACAATTTGATTAACTCTGGTGTAGACGCATCTTTTGTCTCCAAAATCACACTTTTTGCTAGATAATTTTCATTTCCACGTAATTATACTATTCTTGCCCTGGGTTGCTGTGAGTTTTCTGGGCTGTATGGAAATGTTCCAGAAGCATTATCTCCTGAGGTTTCACCAACATATATGGCAGGCATCCTCAGAGGTTGAGGGGTCTGTTGGAAACTAGGCAAGAAAGGTTTATATATTTGTGGAATATCCAGGGTGGGAGAGAGAACTGCTTGAAGCAAGTGTGAATGTCTTAAACTGGCCACCTTGATTAGAATTTAATGACCGTGTAGCTTCAAAGCCTGGCAGCTTGCTGCCTGGTGGATTCCTTTGTTGGGAGGTGTTAGCTGGCCCTGATTGATTCTTATCTGGAATTCCCTTTTTTGAGTGTTGTTCTTTATTTACTGTCCTGATTTTAAGAGTTTTTCTAATACTGATAACCGGATTTTGGTCATTGTCATGATTTTCCCCTTTCTGTTGAAATTCTCCACTTGCTTGCGGATTTAATGGCTTTTCTGTGTAGTCTGACATGGAGTGGTCCAGCATTTCTGTGTTCTCAAATAATATGCTGTGTCCAGGTTGGTTCATCAGGTGCTCTGCTATGGCTGACTTCTCTGGTTGAAGTAGTCTGATTCGCTGCATCCTACCTCCCTGTGTAGGGAGGAAGGAAAGACAAAAGGGAAGGAAGGAAGGAGAAAGAGGGGGGGAGGAAAGAGGGAAGGAAAGAAGGATGAAAGGGTGGAAGGAAAGGAAGGAAGGAGGGAGAAAGAGGGAAGGAAGAATGAAATAGCAGAAGGGAGGGAAGGAGGGAGAAAGAGGGAGGAAGGAAGGAGAAAGAAGGAGGGAGGGAGGAAATAGGGAAGGAAGGATGAAGGGATGGAAGAGAAGGAAGGAGAGAGGGGAGAGAGGGAAAAGGGAAGGAAGGAAGTAGAAAAAGAGGGGGAGGGAGGGAGGAAAGGGGGAAGGAGAAAAAAAGGATGGAAGGAAGAGAAGGAAGGAAAGAGAAAGAGAGAGGAGAGAGAGAGGGAGGAAATAGGGAAGGAAGGATGAAGGGAAGAAAGGAGAGAGGGGAGAGAGGGAAAAAGGGAAGGAAGGAAGGAGAAAAAGAGGGGGAGGGAGGGAGGAAAGGGGGAAGGATGAATAAAAGGATGGAAGGAAAGCAAGGAAGGGGGAGGAAGAAAGAGGGAAGGAAGGATGAAAGGGTGGAAGGGAAGGAGGGAGGGAAGGAGGAAAGAGGAAGGAAGGAGGGGGAAGAAAAGAGGGAAGGAAGGAATGGAAGGGTGGAAGGAAAGGAAGGAAGGAAGGAGAAAGAGGGAAGGAAGGACGAAATGAGGGAAGAGAGGGAAGGAGGGAGAAAGAGGAGGGAAGGAAGGAGAAAGAGAGGGGGGAGGGAGGGAGGAAAGAGAGGACAAAAGGGTGGAAAGAAAGGAAGGAGGGGGAAAGAGGGAAGGAAAGAAGGGCAACATGGCAGAAGGGAGGGAAGGAGGTAGAAACAGGGAAGGGAGGAGAAAGAGGGGGGAGGAAGGGGGGAACTAGAGAAGGAAGGATGAAAGTGTGGAAGGGAAGGAGGGAGAAAGAGGTAAGGAAGGAAGGGAAGGAGAGAAGAATAGGGTGGTCTGAGAGAGGAGGGCCTGAGAAAAGCGCCCAAGGGGCTGCATCCAGGCCCAAGGGCTGGGTTTGCCCATACCTGGCCTAAGTGCTGAAAACACTTTGGGCCTCCAGGTGTTCTTGACTCCAACTCCTAGTAGATTCAGCCAGCTTGGCTAACAGTTAGTGATTCTGGGAACCTGGAATAGACTAATTTTGAGGTCACTTTAAGCATCACTGCTACAGAATCATGGGAGATGAACTTTTCCAAGTGCCACATCTGCTGAGGAGTGTTGGTCTCCCACCAGGAGGCCAGGGCAATTCAAAGTGGTGCCAAACTGCCTTAATTTCACAGTGTGGATGTACTCCAAGACCCAAGTGGGAGGAAGAGCTGAGTTCCTCCTTCTTGGCCGCGCCTCTCGGTCCAAAATGACTCAGGGAGCAAAGGAAGGCTGGGCAAAGGCAGGGCGGGGGCTGGGAGGAGGAGGAGGAGGAGGAGGAGGCAAGGAGCAGCCTCCCTTTCCTCCTCCTCCTCCTCCTCTTCCTCCTCCTTTCCTGCGCTCCAGCCCCGCTGCTTCCCTCCCTTCCTCAGGTAAGACAAATCGCCTCCTCAGCCCCCCACTCCCTCCAAATGCACGCACAGCCAAGAGTAGCTTTGGAGATGATCCCAAAGAGAAGGGGATGCATGAGTGTTCAAATAACTTGGCTCAGAGTTTTGAAACATCCTTTGCTGAGTGAGAGGTTCTCAGAGTCCTTGCGCCCTGCGCAGCCAAGCTCACTTGGAAAGTTTCTCTTGCAACTTAGCCGCACTTTCCAACTATTGGCATCTTTCTCCCTACTTTAAGGATTTATATATCTTTGAAAAGGAAATTGCCTTTGGTGGCTTCATGGGCTCCCTTCCCGGCTGCAACTACACTGTAGAATTGATGCACTTTGGCACCACCTTAACTGTCACATCTTAGTGTTAAGGAATCCTGGAAATTGTACCTTTTTCAAGTCTTCTTTCTGCCTTTGCCACCAAATAGTCCCCAACTAGAGCTCCCACAGTTCCATAGAATGAAGCCAAGTGATGCTAAACTGTGTTAATTCTACAATGTAGAACAGTGGTTCTCGACCTTCCGAATGCCACAACCCCTTAATACAGTTCCTCATGTTATGGTGACTCCCAACCATAAAATTATGTTCATTGCTACTTCATAACTGTAATTTTGCTACTGTTATGAATTGCAATGTAAATATCTGATATGCAGGATGGATTTTCATTCACTGGACCAAATTTGGCACAAATACCCGATGTGCCCAAATTTGAATATTGGTGCAGTTTGGGAAAATTGATTTTGTCATTTGAGAGTTGTAGTTGCTGGGATTTATAGCTCACCTACAATCAAAGGGTATTCTGAACTCCTCCAATTATGGAATTGAACCAAACTTGGCACACAGAACTCCCATGACCCACAGAAAATACTGGAAGGGTTTGGTGGGCATTGAGCTTAAGTTTTGGAGTTGTAGTTCACCTACATCCAGGGAGCACTGTGGACTCAAACAATGATGGATCTGAACCAAACTTGGCACAAAGCCTCAATATGCCCAAATGTGAACACTGGTGGAGTTTGGGGAAAATAGACCTTGACATTTTAAAGTTGTAGTTGCTGAGATGCATAGTTCACCTACAAGGTTTCCCTTGACATTGAGTCTAGTTATGTCTGACTTTGGGGGTTGTGCTCATCTCCATTTCTAAGCTGAAAAGCTGGTGTTGTCTGTAGACACCTCCAAGATCATGTGGCCAGCATGATTACATAGAGTGCTGTTACCTTCCCGCAGAAGCAGTACCTAGTGATCTACTCACATTTGCATGTTTTTGAACTCAAGGTTGCCTGAATTTTTTGCTAAGTAGGAAGAGCCTACAGCAAAACTCTTGCTTCATTTTGGGGTGTGCACTGATGTCTTCTGACATAGAAACTTTGGGGGCACAAAATCCTTTGAGAATTCAAGGAGGTACCCTCCCCAAGGAGTTCAGCAGTAAGAGGTCCTGAAATTGCCAGAGGCTGATCTGGGCTGTTCCACAATTATTATTATTATTACTAGCTTGAGTACCTGGCGTTGCCTGGGTTATTCGAAAAAGTCAGTTTTTAATTGTAAAAAATGCATAAGGTTGTGGATGAACTTCAACTCACATCATGCCAGGCTCACTCCGAAAAACCCCATCAGTTTGATATGTTGGGCAAGTTTGCTCTAGATGCATCATCGATGGGGTTCAGTGTGCTCTCTGGCTGAAGGGTAAACTACAACTCCCACCATGGAGAGTCAGTCCGCTCAAACCCCTCCAGTAGGTTGAGTTATGGAGGTTCTGTGTGCCAAGTTTGGTCCAGGTCCATCATTGGTGGAAGTCACAGTTTCTCTGTTTATGGGTGAACTACAACTCCCAGAAAGGGAGGTCAGTTCCCCCCAAACCCCTCCAGCAACCATACTTGAGTATATGGGTATGTGTGCCAAGTTTGGTCCAGATCCATTAGTGTTTGGGTTCACAGTGCTCTCTAGATGTAGGTGAACTGCAACTCCCCCAAATCAAGGTGAATTTTCCCAAAAGACTGCCAGTATATTTTGCTGGTCATGGGGACTCCGTGTGCCAAGTTTGGTGCGATTCCATCTTGGGTGGAATTTAGAGTGCACCTTGATTGCAGGTGAACTATAAATCCCAGTATCTACAACTCTATAATGTGCAGGTCAATTACCCTCAAAATTTGGGCATATTGGGTATGCATGCTAAGTTTGGTCCAAATCCATTATTGTTTGGGTTTATAGTGCACTCTGGATGTAGGTGAACTATAACTCCTTTAAATCCCTCCAAAGACCCAATTGTTGCTCATGGTGGTTCTGTGTACCAAGGCTGGTCCAATTCCCTCTTTGGTGGAGTTCAGAGTGCTCTTAGATTGAAGATGAACTATACAGGACCTACAACTCTTATCATGTTGAATTCTCCCCAAACCTCTCTAGTATGTTCAGTTGCTGATCTGTTTGCTGTGTGCCATAGAGAACAATAGGAAAGGTTTAAGGGAGAGGCAGTGGGCGGGGTCATGCAAATTCCAAACCAATGGAGAGAGTCAGAAAGACTGTGATGTCTGTGGTGGAGGAAAAACAGAAAATCTAAGATAAAATTGTCCCTGTATGAAAACCTTCACTTGGGTGGTGAGCAGGATGGTGTTTATGGAGGACATTGGCAGGGCTCTTGAATATGTTCATGGTGCTTGCTATAACCTGCAATGTCATTGGAGGGAGGGTCATTGGTGTCTCCTGAGTAGTGAGAGCTAGAGCTGTTTGTGGAAGTGGGAGCCTGTTTGTATAAGTGGGAACCCCAGCTACACACACACACACATTCACTTTTATAATGTTTATGGATTATTATCATTATTATGTTTATGCGTACACTGCTTTTTCTCCCCACAAAGGAGACTGTAAGATCCCCCCCCCCCTTTTCAAAACAGGCATCTACCTCTGAAAAACTGGGCATGGTAACCCCTCTGCTATCTATAATATCAGACTCATTTGCAATCCAAAAATGTATCACTGAAGGGATCTAGAATCAAAAGCATTGGTTTTGATGCCTTGGATGGTACACTTTTCTTTTTCATTCGCACTGGAGTCCCATTGATGTATTCTGCTATGGATACATCCTGCAAAAAGGCTCACATCCAAAGGATGCACCACAACATAAGCTTCCCACTTTGTAGTGCCTGTCAGTATTGTTTGAACTCTTATTACTTGATGTTGTGGCTTGAATGTTGGATTCTGATTCTTGAGACCAAAGTTCGAATCCCTGTGTTGTCATGGGAACCTTGGGCAAGGAACACTCTCTCAGCTTCAGAGCAAAGCTAAGAAAATCTCAAGGGACACAACAATACAACCTGATTCAGCTTGATAAGCTTAGCTGTAGTAAGAATTCTATTTAGGGGTGCAGTTCTATATACAACTAGCTGAAGGGAAGCAACACTAAAAGCACTACAAACATAATTGATTTCCTGGTAAACACGTTAGATTCTATGGGAAGCCTGAACAAGTCAGTTCAGAATTAATTTCCACATGCTATATCATGTTTAGGACCAAAGTGATGTAATCCAATCCTCTGTGAAAAGGTATCCCAGGGGAAGTGAGTATTCCTTGCTGAAGAAAACTCAATGGAAATTCAGTGTCATACTCATGTGTTTGTGCATGCCTTCAAGTCATGGACAGACACATGGCTTGAAGGCATGCACATACACACGAGTATGACATTTAAGTCCTAGTATTTAGAGGTTTTAAGATGGGCCCCAGCGGCACAATGGGTTAAACCGCTGAGCTACTGAACTTACTGATTGAAAGGATGGTAGTTCGAATCCAAGGAGCGGGGTGAGCCCCAGCTTCTGCCAATCGAAAACATACAAATGTGAGTAGATCAATAGGTACCGCTTGGGTGGGAAGGTAACAGCGCTCCATGCAGTCATGCTGGCCACATGATCTTGGAGGAGTCTATGGACAACGCCAGCTCTTCGCCTTAGAAATGTAGATGAGCACCAACCCCCAGAGTTGGACAGCATTAGACTTCATGTCAGGGGAAACCTTTGCCTTTACCTATGATAGGCTCACATGTTAATAGCAGAATTTGCACAAGTTATTCATTTATACTATAGCTCTCACCATCTCTTAGACTGCAAAAGAAGTGTGGCATCTGAGAATCTTAGCCCCCTTCCACACAGCTGAATAAAATCCCACATTATCTGCTTTGAACTGGAATATATGACAGTGTGGACTCAGATAAATTCAGATATTGTGGGATTTTCTGCCTTGATATTCTGGGTTATATGGCTGTGTGGAAGGGCCCTGAGTCCCTTATAGCAACTTCCCCAAGTTCTGTGTAGTAATATAGCAACTTTTGAATAAGCCTTCTCTTCTATATGGCATGTTTTATAAACTGTCAAGATGAAGTTTTTGAAACTCGTGTAACCAAATCCTCAAAGCAATGCTTAATCTGGGGCTGATTTTGTTGTTGTTATTGTTGTGCCTTTGGTCATGAATAAATAATCCGATCTCCTGGAGAATGTTTTCTGCAAGAGCCACTGTCTGAGTCAAGGTCTGTTTCATTCTACAGGGGCCACCCACTTGTTTGTCTGCCAATCAAAATGGACTCGGATTGTGGGATGGACCCTCTCGCTGTGATAAAAAGGCTTCAAAAAGATTTTGAAGCCGACTGAAGCAATAACAGCAGCAGCTGTGGCGGTGGCAGCATCCAGAAACAAGACCATGAAGAACCCTATGTACGAAATAGTGGCGTTGCTACTGGAAAAGTTTCTCCTGATAGCCAGGCTCCTTGGGATGGGCTCCAGCAGTGAGGAAGACGACAAGAAGAAATATGCTTATTATGATACGACCTATTTCAAGCCAGGAGACTTGTTGGAAGTGCCCCGCACTCTTTTCATTCACTTTGGCATCTACCTGGGTGACAACCGGGTGGCCCACCTGATGCCAGACATCTTGCCAGCTCTCACCCACGACCAGAAGCAGATCCAGAAGGTGGTGACTAACAAGAGACTCATCTTGGGTGTCATTGCCAAAATGGCCCGGATCCGTGTGGACACAGTGGAGGACTTTGCCTATGGAGGCTGCATTCTGGTGAACCACATGGACAAGCTCTTCAAGAACCATGTCCTGAGCAATGAAGAGGTGGTCAGTAGAGCGGAAAAGTTGGTGGGAGCCACAGACTACAGTTTGCTTTGGAACAACTGTGAACATTTTGTCACCTTCTGCAGATATGGCTCTGGAGTCAGCTTCCAGACTGACAAGGTAAAGACTACCATTGTCCAAAGCAGTGGTTCCCAAAGCAGTTGTTTTGGACTTCAGCTCCCAGAAATCCCAGCTGTTAGGAATTGTTGGAGCTGAAGTCCCAAACTCCTGGAGGACCAAAGGTTGGGAACCACTGGTCCAAAGCTATCCAGACAAAAGGTGTCAGTCTCCAATCTGAGCTTTAGGATGCACTGGAAGAGGGAAGGACAAAGGTACAATGGCTTGTTTCTGTCAGACTCAATATGGTTGGTTGATTATATATTTCTGAATGGATTTTCCTCCCAATTTGTCTCCCTGAAACAGAAAGTGGGATATATGATAAGGTAACAATTTGGAGCCTCCGGTGGCACAGTGGGTTAAACCGCTGAGCTGCTAAACTTGCTGATCGAAAGGTTGTAGGTTCGAATGTGGGAAGCGGCGTGAGCTTCCGCTGTCAGCCCCAGCTTCTGTCAACCTAGCAGTTCGAAAACATGCAAATATGAGTAGATCAATAAGTACTGCTCTGGCGGGAAGGTAATGTCGCTCCATGCAGTCATACCAGCCACATGACCTTGGAGGTGTCTATGGACAACTCTAGCTCTTCAGCTTAGAAATGGAGATGAGCACCACCCCCCAGATTTGGACATAACAGGGGAAAACTGTTACCATTTTAACAATTTGTTTAGAGGATGGAGAGGAGGTGTTTTTTTGTATTTTTTTTTGTCCTTTATTTTAGAAGAGCTTGAAAATGTTACTTTTTGAACACTAACTCTCAAAACTGGCCAGTTGTAGTATAAAAAGCATAAAAGTATAACAAAGTAACTTTTGAATTCTGGCCAGCAGTAACAATCTTAGTAAAAAAAATTCTAATTCTCTTCCAGCTAGAAAAGGAGATAACCTTCAACAAGGAATAGATGATAAAGATAAAGGTTTCCTCTGACATTAAGTCTAGTCCTGTACGATTCTGGGGGTTGGTGCTCATCTCCATGAAGAGCTGTCATTGTCCATAGATGCCTCCTAGATCATGTGGCCAGCGTGACTGCATGAAGCGCCATTACCTCCCCGCTGGAGAAAACCTATTGATCTACTCACATTTGCATGTTTTTTTAACTGCTAGGTTGGCAGGAGCTGGGGCTAACAGCGGGAGCTCACCCCAACTTCGAACCACCAACCTTTTTGTTAGCAAGTGCAGCAGCTCAGTGGTTTAACCCACTGCACCACCAGGGAAATCTGTCATAAATGTTAGTAAAAGAATAAAACCTAATCAGTCATAACAACATCTTCATATGATCCAAGTCCTAGCTTGCCATGCTTCTTTCAACAAGATGATTATCCTGACACCTTGTGTGTTTCTCTAGCCAGAATAAGCAAAAACACTGCAGCCACCAGATTATCCAAAAACTGGGCAGAGTGCTTGATGCTGCTAAGACAAAACAGGCATAGTGTTATTACTCTAGTCATCTAGTTCTCTTCTCTGAGCATGGATCCAGTACAGAGTCATTATTTTCCATAAACATTTAAACAATACTATTCCTTATTGAAGATAATCTCCTTTTCTGGCTGGAAAAGTAAAGGCAATAGTTTGAATGAACTTCTAAGGAAGGAACTCCTATAAACACATTCTGTGGTCAGGATTTAACAATGTTGACAGCCCTGCTCTTTTAGCTTCTGTCTGAGCTTTTCTCTTCCCTCTTAAACCAGTGACCTGACATCTTGCCATTAGCACATTATGGTTGAATAGTATTTAGATAGACTGCTAATGGCCATACCAGGTGGGATGTTTTCCAAACACCTTCCCTGGTGGTGCAATGGGTTAAACCCTTGTGCTGGCAGGACTGAAAAATGACAGGTTAGAGGTTCAAATCCAGGGAGAGCGCGGATGAGCCCCCTCTGTCAGCTCCAGCTCCCCATGCGGGGACATGAGAAAAACTTCCCACAAGGATAGTAAAACATCAAAAACATCCAGGTGTCCCCTGGGCAACATCCTTGCAGACCGCCAATTATCTCACACCAGAAGTGACTTGCAGTTTCTCAAGTTGCTCCTGATACACATACACACACACAAACCTAATGAATAGTGTTGAAATAGAAAGTGGAGTTCTGTGTATACATATAATCCTCCTTCACTTGTTTTCAGCCCCTAGTTTTGTCCTCCCCTTCTTCTTCCAACTTTTCCTTTTGTGTGGGGGAAAAAATGATTCTTCTGCTTAGTAGCTTTCTAAAAGCAAGACCTGAATCATAACATTTTTCACACAAAGAAATAATAATAATAATAATAATAATAATAATAATTATTATTATTTATTTGTATTCCGCCCCATCTCCCTGAGGGGACACAGGGCGGATTCCAGCATACACAAACACAAGGCAAACATTCAGTGCCTAGAAACAACCATCATATTTGTGTTAGTCAAAAGGGGAGGGGGGGGGGAGAACCTTCATTAGGCCAATCAAAAGAGCACAAAATGTTTGCAAGTTTACAAGAACTCTTTCTCAGTTGTTATCATTGTATGTCTTCAAGCCAATTCTGACATATCATTGTATGTCGTCAAGCCAATTCTGTGATACCAAATGTATCACAGAATTTATCCAGACAGGATTTGCCTTTGTTCCTCTCTGAAGTTGATTGTGTGTGACCTGCCCAAAGATGCCTCACCAGAAAACACACAGGCATGACTTCCCATTGTTGGGAGTTATTCTGCTCACTTCTTCTACCCTGTCCTATATTTTGTACAATCATGTCTGATAATGAGATCTACAGATCTCAAAGGGTAGCACACTTTGGTTCCCTTTCAACTGTGATAGAAGCATCAGACTTTTTTTTGTACCATGCCAGAAGCGACTTGAGAAACTTCAAGTCGCTTCTGGTGTGAGAGAATTGGCCATCTGTAGAGATGTTGCCCAGGGGATACCTTGGTGTGTTACTATCCTCTTGGAGGCTTCTCTCATGTCCTCGCATGGGAAGCTGAAGCTGACAGATGGGAGCTCACTCCGTCTTGTGGATTCGAACCACCAACCTTCAGGTCAGCAGTTCAGCCGCAAGACTAATATATATGTTGGAAGATCTGTTTTAGATCATGACCCCAGAAGGGTCACTCAAATCCAACCTTTTGGTCAGGTTTTGGAAAAGGTGGCTTATTTGTGTTTTTGTCATTCATAGACTCCTTCAGGCAGCACAGTCAAATTAATGTGATGCTTTTATTAAGTCAGACAAAGGGCTACAAAATGTGCCACTTTTGGATACCTGTTATAAAAATCAGGGAGGGGTAGATATAGCTGGCTATGGGATTCTGGGACTTGTAGTTCACAAACTATAGTCTCAGTATAATTTGATTAGCCTCTCTTTCTTGTGAAATGGAAATGAATGAAAGTGCATTGTTAGGGTTGCTGTGAATTTTCTGAGCTGCATGGCCATGTTCCAGAAGCATTCTCTCCTGATGTTTCACCCACATCTATGGTAAATATCCTCAGAGGTTGTGAACTGTTGGAATAGACCTTGCAAGCTCTGAGGATGCCTGCCATAGATGTGGGCTAAATGTCAGGAGAGAATGCTTCTGGAACATGGCCATACAGCCTGGAACATTCACAGCAACCCAATGTTTCCAGCCAGGTAAACCTTCAACAACACAGTGTAACCCACTATGTTTTGCATTACAATGTAGAAAGAGATGAGCCTACCACCTCCTTTTTTTGATTGTGTGATGCAACAATCAAATATTTAGAATGGTTATTTTTTGGATTACAGCACACAGAATCCATCAGACAGCATTGCAACTGGAAAAATTCTAACCGTCGTAGAGAGGAAAATAACATTCCTGAACTCTAGGCCAACTGAATTAGTTGCTGTGCTAAACTCAAGGTGTTACTAGCATCAGAGTTGGTTCCTTCTCCAACATTTGAATGAAATAAAGGTCCGTTTGTGCAGGGATTGAGGGCAGCAGGAGCAGTGGCTTCAGGTTAGCTCAAGGGCATGCTTTACAAGCAGTTTACTGAAGTCTGCAAAAGGAAGCACGTCAGATTTATTTGGGTCCCAAGCAAATACTTTGCTGTAGTGAAGGCACTGTTTCTGGGTGGCTAATTAGAATGGAACACATATTAGCTCTCTGTGTTCACTGTGGGCAAGAAATAGAGCAAGGGCTTTTTTTTTTGCTTGAATTTCAATTTTTTAAAAAATGTGAAATGCCAGTGAAGTCAGTTAAGTCTGCCAGGTCTCTGAGAAACAAGACCAGGCTTTAATTGGTGTTACTGTTTAGCACTGCTCTCATATAACAGGGTTTTTGTATAATGTTACAATAGGCTAATAAATAGCTTGGTTGGAAAAAAGCGCACAAACTTAAAACCCTTAAGCCCCCTGGTTTCATTTTTTTTTCTCCTTAGAAAGAGGACAATTGGTTCAGTAGCCTTCATTTGGTCAGGTTGAATACTCTTTAATTAGTGTATACCACAATACTATTAATTGTTCCATCCCCCAAATTGGATGTCATTCTCAACTGGCAGACTGGCCAAAATTTAGCACTTGGTTTGAGTGCTGATAGGACTCTCGGAGACCAGGGTTCTAATCCATACTCACCTATGAAAACCCTCTTGAACAATTCACAATCTCTCAGCCTCAAAGACAATGGCAAACTCACTGAACAATTAGTGCCAGGAAAACTCCATGCTGTGGTTGCCTTAGGATCACCATAAGTTGGACATGACTTGAAGGCACAAAACAACAACAACAACAACAATAATGGTAAAGTTTTCTCCTTGACATTAAGTCTAGTTGTGTCCGACTCGGGGAGTTGGTGCTTATCTTTTTTTCTAAGCCAAAGAGCAGGCATTGTTCATAGACTCCTCCAAGGTCATGTGGCCGGCATGACTGCATGGAATGCTGTTACCTTCCTGCCAACAGATCTACTCACATATGCATGTTTTCGAACTGCTAGGTTGGCAGAAGCTGAGGCTAATAGTGGGAGCTCACCCCACTCCTCAGATTTGAACCGCTGACCTTTTGGTCAGCAGCTCAGCGGTTAAACCCACTGCGCCACCAGGGATAATATACTTTATTCTGCTCTATCTCCCTGAGGGGACTCAGGGTGGATTCTAGAACACATATACGGCAAACATTCAACGTCATTATACAATTGACTAGGACAGACGATACATAAACAGAAGTATAGGCTTTCCCTTCTTTTTCCATCTGGAGGCTGTGCTCGACTCTGGCCACGGGGAGGTGCTGTTGCTCAATCTTCCATGCCGAGGAGCTTTTGTCGTCCATAGATGACCTCTTTGAATCGTTGGCATGTCCTTATGGGTGCCTTTTATTACCTTCCTGCTTAAAGCAGTAACTATTTATCTACTCACATTGCTGTTTTTGATCTGCTAGGTGAGCAGAAGCTGGGCTTACGGCCGGGAGCTCACCCCGACCTGGGCTTGAACTATCAACCTTTTGATTGGCAAGATTTTCTGCAGCTGGCAATTAACCCACTGTGCTAAAGCCCAGCCCAAACAGGATTTGTTTGACCAAATCCTGTTTCAAACCAGTGCAAATATCACAATGTGGGTGCCATTTTGCGCAGAAACCATAAATAGAGAGGAACACAATACAGGGTGAGCAATCAAGTTATTTTTGTGGTGTAATGTAAAACAAACCACATGCAGTTCACGTTTTATCAGGCCCCACACTGCCTTGCCAGAGAAAGAAAATATGCCACACAGGTGAACAGTAAAGAACAAGTAGTTTACTGTTTGTAGTTCAGAACACCATATGTTCAATGTGATCAGATACATCAACTCACATAATGTTATTTTATCATCATCATTTAATTACTTATTAATCGCCCTCCATCCAAGATGCTCTAGGCGATTTAGGGATTTAAAATGGTCTTTCTTTGTCCGTGTGGATAAACGCCTCCAGCTTATGAAGCGAGAACACACACCAAACACACTCTCTCTCTGCTTCAGTCTTCTTCTCTCTATGCTCATGCATAGCTCAAGCCTGAACAAAAATGTAACAGTATCCAAAAGTCCCAGGCTCAGCCTGATCCCTGGGCATTGCTTGAGCAATCAGCTTCATGTATCATATTTTACAGTTGACACACACACATTAACTGATTCCTTGCATGCTCCAACAATTTTAAAGTTCTAGTCCATCAATGCAGATTTTGCAATCACCCACTCAAATTCTCATAAAATAACAGAATAGCCTCCTTGCACATGCAAAAGATGGAGGAGATTTTAGCCTATCAGTTGTTTCAGACTACAACTCTCAGAAGCCTAGGACAGCATGACCAATGGTTAAGGATTATGGGTGATATATCTGACAACATCTGGGGGGCTAACAGTTCACAGTGTCATTTTACTGGATGTTTTTCTGTTTTCTCCATACTATGTACTCTCAATGTTTTTGTTTTGATCTTTGCAGTTCTGTGAAACAGTGAAGATGATAATTCGGGACCAGAGGAGTGTTCTTGCTACTGCGCTGCTGGGACTGGTTTCTATATTCTGCCTGGGCCTTGCACCGTCCACCACTCTGCCCACCATCATTATTCCATTCATGTTGTGGATGGCTGGTTAATGAAGCCACCAGAGTGTGTTGGCAGCTGTACATAGGATATATAATGTATTTATGAAGGTTCAAACACCTTCCAATGTTTTGTGAGCAGAGGAGAATGTGACTTGCCATTGTATCCTCATTTATTGATACCTGATGGGCCAGAATATGGTGAACAAGCAACATCTTACTGTGTAAGCTGCTGGATTTTGTACAAATATTTGCAGAAAGCAACTTCAGCAACGGATTCATGGGGTTTGTTCCCAAGCAAATGTGCATAGACTGCAAACCTAAAAGTAAACTCAGCTAAAATTGGTGGGATTAGCTCTCAAGTAAATATGCATAGGATTGGAGAGAGGTTATAATATGTGAAAAGCTATCCTTTGGATGTAGGTAAAACCAGTGAAGCCTTAGATGAATCCTCCCCAGCCTAGCAGTCGCCAGATGTGATGCACGACAGTCCCCGTGTTCACTAATGAGCATGGCTAGATCAGATCTAGTCTACCATCCTTTGCATACCAAGGGAACAAATCCAGAAGCCCTCCAGATGTTATCAGATTACAATTCCCAGAATTCATCACCATAAAGGCTGGTTAGGATTAAACATGATTACCACCTAGGTGAAGTTTGTTAGCAGGTCATAGATGGAAAAGCATCCTCCCAGTTATGTTTCTCAGGAACTGAAATACTGAGACTCGGGCTCCTTCTACACCAGACATGGAGAAACTTCAGCCCTCCAGGTGTTTTGGACTTTAACTCCCATCATTCCTACCAGCTGTTAGGAATTGTGGGAGTTGAAGTCCAAAACACTTGGAGGACCGAAGTTTGCCCATGCCTGTTTTACACTGTACTTATATCTCAGGATCTGATCCTAAATTATCTGCTTATATGGCAGTGGGGACTCATATAATCCAGTTCATGGAGATAACCTGGGATCTGATCCTGGAATATAAGGACAGTGTAGAAGAGGCCTCAGTGCTGACATATAGCCATCCTAACTTGTAGTCCCTGGTGATCCTAACTCCATGAATTACGGATCTCATCACACTAGAGAATGAATCCACTTTAAATCTGGTTTCTGCCTCCTGCAGAATTGTGGGGATTGTAGTTTAGTGAGGCTGTTAAAGGCTCCTCCCTAAACTACAAACCTCAGAATTCTGCATTTAAAGCAATCACATTTAAAGTGGATTCATTCTCTAGTGTGATGAGATCCAAAGTTAGAGCCATATGTAATGGAAGTCATCACTACACTGAATGTGGTGTGCTGAAAAATGATTCCTTTTCTCCACCTCCCAACATTTAGCTACATAGATGACCTCAGGTTCTAGTATAAACGATTCTTGCTATCCCCTTCTTTCACACCATGCATATTTTTATAAGCCTCTCTTCTGTCTTCCCTTCCCTTTCTTCAAAGCCTTCAACTCTCAGAAATTCTAACACCTGGGGACCCACAGGTTGAGAACCACTGTTCTAAACTTAGCAAACCCAAACATTGTAGACCTTTTTCATAGGGAAGATGTAGACCTACACAGCTGGAGGTCACTGAGCTGCAAATGTTGCCTTAAGACCAGTGTTTCTCTACCTTATAGGTCCCCAGATGCTTTGGCCTTCAACTCCCAGAAATCCTGGTAAAACAGCTGCGATTTCTGGGAGTTGTAGGTCAAAACACCTGGGGACCCACAGGTTGAGAACCACTGCTTAAGACACACAGGTGGACAATGGAGACACGTAACTAGTACTCCGTATCCCTTCCAGATGTATTTTGAAAGGTGTTGCACTGATCGTCATAGCAATTAAAAGAGCAGAGGGGAGACCCAGGTGTGTATTATTACTGTTGTGTGTTTCTATCATTGCACATTTCTAATAGTTTATATCTAGTCTTTCAGATTTCCATAAAGAGAGTAGTTGAATTCATTTCTCCTTAAATGACACACGAATCCATCCTGACTGATTTGGGTGCTGCAGATTCACCTTGGTATGAAATGTCAACAACTCCCCATTTAAATCATGCTGGTAGCGGCAAATTCTTTTGAAGCCTCGAGGCAAGGTTGGCACAAGTGGCTGAAAAAAAGAAAACAATTAAGGAGTATTCTGTGTTTGTGGGAAGATGAAAGGCAGAAGTCTAGCCCTTTTGTCTGTTCTTCACAATGAGATCAAGTAGCATGGAAATAAAGAAGCCGCTTTATGACTTCTAATAGCTCTGGTCTTTGTCGCTAGCCTGGAATTCTTCAGTCATCATTGTGTCTAGTACCAGACAAGCTATTTAACAGAGCCTGGCAACATTTTTTTCAGACCACAGACATCAGAATCCCAAACCAGAATGGCCATTGGACATATAACCTGGTGTGATTCCAGAAGTTGTAATTCCTCGTCCCCAAAAATGACATTTTCGAGCAATGGCAGTAGACAAGGTGGAACAGCTCCACTCAGGATTATTTATCGTATCAGGGGCAACCAGACAATTGTATTACATTTCTAACAGAACAAAACAAACAAACAGACAAAACACAAAATTTGCAAGCTTGGTAGTTGATTAAATGTCCTTTGACCAGTATCTGGCCACTTGGAGTGCCTCTGGTGTTGCCGCAAGAAGGTCCTCCATTGTGCATTATCCACTCAGGATAAGGGGGTTCAGATTGCAGTTGAAAATGTGGACAACTGTGATTCTGGTTGCAATCCTATACACCAGGCCCGTAGCCAGGATTTTGATTGGGGGGGGGGGGGGCAGGTTTGATTGGGGGGCGGGGGATCTCAGGATCTACCCTAGCAAACCTTTTGTATCATTGTCCCAATACCCCGATGCATATGGGATATATTGAGCATGGTGATCAGATCATCTATATAAATAAAAATGTAATGTTCATGGGCCAATTGACACCAAATTTGGACAGAATACACCTAACAACCCAATGGATGTCCTTCACTGAAAATATTGATTTAGTCATTTGGGAGTTGTAGTTGCTGGGATTTATAGTTCACCTACAATCAAAGAGCATTCTGAACTCCACCAATTATGGAATTGAACCAAACATGGCACACAGAACTCCCATGACCAACAGAAAACACTAGAAGGGTTTGGCAGGCATTCACCTTGAGTTTGGGAGTTGTAGTTCACCTACATCCAGAGAGCACTGTGGACTCAAACAATGATGGATCTGGACCAAACTTGGCACAAATATTCCATATGCCCAAATATGAACACAGATGGAGTTTGGGGGAAATAGACCTTGACATTTGGGATTTGTAGTTATTGGGATTTATAGTTCACCTACAATCAAAGAGCATTCTGAATCCCACAAACGACAGAATTGGGGCAAATTTCCCACACAGAACCCCCATGACCAACAGAAAATACTTAAGGCCATCCAGTCCAACTCTCTTCACCAGGGCAAGAAAATGTCATCAGAGCCCTCCTGACAAAGAGCCATCCAGCCATAGATATAGATAGATAGATATGATTCACACACACACACAGATATAGTATCATAGATTTGAAAGGGACTCCTAAAGAAGGACAATTATATGTTGCATGTTCCAGAGGAGGCAAACCAGACAATCTCCACATCAACACTGACAAAGAAACAGCAAGAAATACTATTTACCCACAAGCAGAAAGACATTACATATATTAAAAACCAACACTTTCTCATTACTTTTTTTCCAGATCACCAAACTGGGCCGCAGCAATGTGTGGCAGGGGATGGCTAGTGATATGAATAAACATAACAGTTTAAATAATGTACCAGCAGTAAGGCCTTCTTGCGGACCACCCTGAGAATTTCGGCTATGAGCCTGCTATACACATTATATAGAAGTGAAAGCAATGGTTAGAGCCAGTGCCAGATTCAGGACAAATAAGGCCCTGTGCTAGTTATGAGACCCTGAAGGAGGTAGGTCCAGTATACTTACACTGCCAGCTTTGTGGACTACCAACTATCATGTCTACAAAACAGAACACCTTCAAATTTAGAAATGTACCACACACACAAAATCCACATCACAAGTCGGACATTTTTTTTAAAATCGTGTCAGAGGTGACTTGAGAAATTGGTCATCTGCAAAGACGTTGCCCAGGGGACTTCTCTGTCTGTGGAGGCTTCTGTCATGACCCTGCATGGGAAGCTGGAGCTGACAGATGGGAGCTCACCCCATCTTGCGGGTTCGAACCACTGGCCTTCAGGTCAGCAGTTCAGCCAGCACAAGGGTTTAACCTATTGCGCCACCACGGCTCTAGTCAGACAAATGCCATTTGGAAACTCACAAGGAGCACAGAGTGGCTCTTTCCTGCTGCCTAGTGCAGTGTGGGAACTTCAGGCCTTGTGAGGCTAACGGTGCATCTTTAGTTGTGCCCGCTAAAGAATGCTGGTGCCTCATCAAACTACAACTCCCATGCATTGGCTCATAGCAGTCAAACTGCATTAATTCTACAATACAAATGCTGCTCCCCAGGGTTCTCCTGATAGTCATATCTTTTCTCCATTATTCTGATCTGACAGTTTCCAAGCTTGTGTATGGATTCTTCCCAATTGTAAAAGACTGAAGGTTCCTCTAGATCAGTGGTCCCCAACCTGTGGTCCATGGACCACCAGTGGTCCCCAAGAATTAAAATATGATCTGCCACCTCATCATTACTGCACCGTTGCAACGAGAGTGACTGGTCTTGCAAAACTCTCTTATAGTGCCAAGGCAATGGGGATGCCGGGAGGGGAGAGGCTGATTATTTATTTATTGATTTACGACATTTCTACCCCACCTTTCTCCACCCTGGAGGGAACTCAAAGCTGCTTACACAAAGGCAACTATTCAGTGCCATAAAACAATGTACAATTAAAATAAACATTTAAATGGAATTAGAAAATACATTAAAATAATTTAAAAAAATAAGACAATATCTTCACAATTAATCATGTAATCTTCAAGTGTAATCCAGGCCATTCCAATAGTCATTGTACATCATGACTGATTTGGGGGCCAGAAGGGATAACAGACAAGCAGCAAGGAAAAAAAAAGAATATTTGCTTGCCTTTAGATCTGCTGAAAAGGGATCATAAGACCAATGGGGAAGGGCGAGGGGATAGCATGCCTTCTATTGTTGCTAGTCAGATCTCACTAGGGTTAAAGTGAAAATAAATCTCTTCTAAACACACTTGGCTTACTTTTTCGTGTTTTCCTCAGTATGTTTTATTATAGCAAGCAATGTAGCAATATATTCTTTCAACTCAACACTGTCAGAACAAGCTGGGTTTAACATCCTCAGGGTGGTTCAATTGAAGAGCCAAAAGTGGATGGCTTAAGGCCGGGGAAATCTGCTCACAGGGATCCTTTTCTCCAACCTACAGCCTTCCAGACTTCAGGTTTCTGAATTTAGCAGGGGAATTTTTATGGTGTTCCTCGTTCCCTCCCCACATTAATGTAGATGTGCTAATGCCCATTATGGAATGATGCATTAAGATGCATACAATCAAGAAAACAACACAATTGGTTATTTATTTATATCAAAGTCTTTTTATCCTGCCTTTCATTGTGGGATCTGAGGGGATTTGAAATAAGTCTGGAATAAAACCATAAATGATCTAAACAAGATCAAAACATCTTACACAGTAGAAGTTACAACAACTTCAAAAGCTACATCAATTTAAAACCCAGTACACGTACACTTTGAAGTATAGCAGAAACCCAGGGGCCATCCAGTCATCTCTGAAGACAGAAAGTCATGTTTTGTTTTGGGGCCTGAAAGAAACCGATGCCAGCATTAGTTGTTCTGTTAAGGGGATAACACTCCATTATTAGGGGGCCAAACCTGAGAAGACCCTCGTCCTCTTACAGCTTATTCCTCCTATGAGTACAACACAGAGGATGCCCCTCTTGCAGACTTCAGTCAGAGAGAGAGAGAGAGAGAGAGGCATTTAGCTGCTTATTAGGAATTTAGAATGAATCATAGAATTAAATGATCACAGGTGCCTTTTAATCCAGAGGTTCTTAAAGTGTGTTCTGCAGAGCCCTTGGGGCACCACAAAGCTTACTGAGAGGATTCATGCTTCCTTCTTCCCCTTCCAGCTTTCCCTCCTCATTCCTGCTCTTCCCCTCCCCTGCCATCTCACCACCAAAAACCTTTTCCCTCACTTCCCTTGCCGCCAAAAACCTCTTTCCTCAGCTTCCTTGCCACCAAAAGCCTTTTTCCTCAGCTCCCTAATGTCAAAAGCCTTTCCCCACCTCCCTTGCTGCCAGAAGCCCTTTTCCTCACCTCCCTCACCACCAAAAGCTTTTCCCCTGCCTCCCTTGATGCCAGAAGCCTTTTTCCTCGCTTCCCTTGCCACCAAAAGCCTTTCCCCTACCTCCCTTGACACCAAAAGCCCTTTTCCTGACTTCCCTTGCCACCAAAAGCCTTTTCCTCAGCTCCCCTACTGCCAAAAGCCTTTCCCCACTTTCCTTGCTGCTAGAAATCTTTTTCCTCACTTCCCTTGCTGCCAAAAACTTTCCCCTGCTTCCCTTGCCACCAAAAGCCTTTTTCCTCATCTTCCTTACTGCCAAAAGCCTTTCCCCACCTCCTTTGCTACCGGAAGCCTTTTTTCTCACTTTTCTTGCTGACATAAGCCTTTTTTCCTTGCCTTCCCCACTGCCCAGACCTCTTCCTCTTTGCCTTCCTTGCTTCCAAAACCATATTTTCCTCCCACCGCCATGCTTTTCCTGCGTGGCAAGGGAGTGGAACTGGATGGCCCCTGCGATCTTCCACTGAGATACTGTTAAGTTTGTGTTGGTTAAAATGGTGCTTCATTTTAAATATCATATTGTTCTCTTTCCTTCTCCTTTTTGCACTACAAAGGAAATAAGTGCAGTATGTATAGCAATTTGTTCGTGTTTTTTTCCAATTAGTTCACACCAACACTCTCCATCCATTTGCCACTGTCTCGACCTGTCTGTTAAATTCAAGAACACAATGCCTATCCATATCCTTCTTGAACGGTACTTCCCACAACAGGGCACAATATCCTACAGGAGGTCAGATCACAGCAAAAAGTGGTATTTAAAAGGAATTAAATCCCTCCCCCGCCCCCAATTAGTTTGCCTTTTATATTCATTGGGGTTGGGAACGTGGGACCCCACTGCAACAGTGGAAAAACATTAATAAATCCATTTTTAAAAAGCCTGAGGGAACGCCTCTCTAGAGAATGCTAGGTTCTTCAGCAGGACTCTA